GAAGGGCCCTGTGTGGTGCCATTATATTAAATTCCACTTGGCTAGGCATGATATTCTTGGCTGGTATTGTTTTCCTGAGAATTTGGTGGCCATTGTTTAATTATATTTTGGCACTATTATTGTGAAGATACCTGAGGCCAGCCCGAATCTCTCCTTGTCTCCTTTGCCTTGGGGGTGGTGTGGCCTAACTTTTACACATAAAATTTTAATTACTGAAATTCAAAACCTTTCTCAAGAGGTAGCCCGCTGTTGAAAGTTCTGTTAATTGTTCCTAGAACATAAGTGCTCTTTCAACATGTAAATTCGGTTATTCCTTCATCATAGGAAATAATTGCTATAGGATACTTTTGAGTCTGTTTCCTATTTCCTTCATTAGATTCTTCATTTGGGGATGGCAACAGTAGAGAAGCTCTGTTCCAGTTTTCTTTCACCGTTTGCCTCTGTATTCACTGCACCGTTCTCACTGTTGCCGGGCTTTTCTGTACGCTGGGTCTGGGTTTGCCTCCATCTCTCTATCTTCATGCTGTCTGGCCTGTGATGTTTATCCTGTTTCCAGTGCAACTTATGTCCTTGAAGATATTCAAAAACATGTTCTATCATTACTGTGATCAGACAAAGCTAGCAAAAAGAGGAAAGGCCGGCTCTTGTCTTTCATGTGTCAGCCGGTGCAGAATTCTAAATTTTAAAATTTGCTCTGTATTTAGCTCATTTTTTATTTTAACCCAAGAGACTCATTATGAATATTTGACCACCAGAACTGTAAAGTAATAAAGTTGGGTTGGTTTAGATAATTTAGTTTGTAGAGATTTGGTAGAACAGCAGTAGAGAAACACACTAACTCAGTCGCATACTGTGAACTTTATTAACCGCTGAGGAATCAGGAAACGATGATTCTGTAGGATTCCTCGCCAATTCTTTACTCCCACTCCCACTCTCCTTCTGGTTATTTCACTGTTAGTATTGCCAGGTGGGAAAGGCCGTGAACTCCGTGGGTGCAGTGTGGTATGCTGTGTCACCAGTGCATGGACAGCTGAGGCCAGCGGTGAGCTAGCGCCAGAGCCTCCCTCACAAAGTCTCAGAAGCGGCTACTACCAGTCTTCTGCCTGGACTCCCTGAGAAAAGAAACGGGACAGTGACACAGTAAGATTGTAACTACACAGCTTGCTCGCTCACTCACTCGCTCGCTCTTCTTTCTTTTCTCTCTCTCTCTCTTTTTCCTCTTTAATTTTTTTTTTTTTTTTTTTTGCCTATGGCAAGTTAGTTCCATTTTGGCCAAATAATAAGCATTTGAAGGGGCCGGGGAGATAGGTCAGTGGTACAGTGTCTGCCTGTCAAGCACAAGGTCCTCAGTTTATTTCTCAACACTGAAAACAAACAAACAAATAAAAGAAAAACAAAACAAAAAAGCATTCAAAGATCACTGGAAGTCTTTCCGTTCTGGAAATACACAGTTTGGCAGGTGTAGCTGTTTAAGAACTGGCGGCTTAAAGCTTAGGCTTTAAGTGACAGAATGTGCTTTCCTCAATTCTAGAGGCTGGAAATCCACAATCAAGAAGTTAGCAGAGAGGGCTTTTTTCTGAGGTCTCTTCCCTTGGCTTGTGGAAGGATCTCTGGTCTGCCTGTCCTCACCTGGTCTTTTTTCAGTCAGTATTCTCCCTCTGTCATAACCTTTTTATAAAGATAATACCTACTGGATTAGGGTCCACCCATATGACCATTAACTAAACTAACTATGGAAAGGTCTTATCTCCAAGAATCATCTCACTATGAGGTACTGGGAAATAGTATTTCACCATCTGAATTTGGTTCATAATAAAATCTACAACTCTGTCTTTAACAATGAGCACAAAGGCTATTAAATAATCATATAGGAAATCAGAAAAACTCAAATGAAAATAAATACTTTTACCTCCAATATTTTTGTATAGTAGAAAATTTAAACTTACCTGAATTTTAAATGACAGTACTAAAGACAGATTTTTATAATTCATTCCACAAGGAGATGAGAAAACTTAATAAACTAGGAATTGATATTAATGATAATGATGAAATAAAGCAAGTGTTGGTATAAAAATTGTGGTATAGAATGTATCAATGTTTATAAATGTTTGCAATCAAAATCAAACAAAATGGTAAGGTATTAAAATAATTATCTAGGGCCTGCCAAATAGCTCAGCAGATTAAAGTGCTTGCAAGCAGGTGCAGGGGCAAGGGGTTTGATCCCCAGGCCTGCTGTGCCAGCCCCAGCCCTGGGGCATGCTGAGATGGTGATTGAGACTGGGCACGGTGGTGCGTGCCTGTGATCCCAGCTCTTGGGAGGCTGTAAACAGGAGGATCACTATGAGTCCGATCTGTGCAATGAGACCCTGAGCACCCTGTAGACCCTTCCCCAAAATGCAAAAATAAATAAATAAATAATAATTATCTGAAAGAGTTATTTCTTGAGATCAAGGATCATAGTAGAAATGCACACTAATCCACCTGATTAAACTGGGAGAGGTAATGTGACGCTCTAAAGCACTCTTGAAGAAAATAGAATAAATTCCTATCTCTGTGTTACAACGTGAGGATGAGGGAGGGCTCTTGCAGTATCAACCTCATAATATGGTTTGCAAAATGGTATAAGGATTAATTTGCACCAATATGACAAATGAGGAAATACATTTTTTTTTTTTTTTTTTTTTTTTGGTTGAACCGGGGATTGAACTCAGATCCTTGCGTTTGCCAGTCAAGCACTTATCCTACTGAGCCATCTCCCCGGCCCCTAGGAAATACACTTTTTAAAAACTCTGGGATAAATCTAGCAGTGGGGGCTGGTAAGATAGCTTAGCAGATTAAGCACCTGCTTAGGTAAGCACAGGGACTGGGGTTTGATCCCAGCACTACATGCAGTACCGGCCCTGTGCCCAGGGCCACTGAGCCAACTGCCAAGACTGGGCATGGGGGCGCATGCCTGTAATCCCAGTGCTAGGAAGGCTGAAAACAGGAGGATCAATACTGGAGGGCACTTTTCCTTCTACTGTTCTGCTCCCATGACCAAAGTGGATGGCGAGCCTATGGCAGCATGCATGTTTGTAGTATTGAAATCTTTAGAGCTTTTGCCCTCACTGATCTATACTATCGGCAGGACAGGAGTCAGGAGATAGGCTAGTAAATAAAAACCAACACCCAGTAGTCTTATTCTTTGAAGATACTTTAATTTTGCAGTTATTGATTAATTAAAAAAAAAACACAACTGTTTTCAGCATTTCCTAGCTATAGTAATGCATAGGAAATCTCATTCTAAATAAGGAAGTAATTAATGAAATAACAACACACCTTTACACTTTACATTGATAGCTTACAGTTTACAAGGTGCTTTCACATACATTATTTCATTTGAGTCTTACAACAAGCAGAAAAAAACATCAAAGAAAAATAATTTCTGTCAGGCTTACAATGAGTATTATCAGGCCAATGGCCGGTCAGTACAAGAACATACCAAGAACAAGACGGCAATACCCATAAGCCACAGGGTTGTTTTTGGTAGGCTGGCAGTTTGATAGCAACCATGTACTTAGCATGAGCGAATGAGTAAGGAATCAAGTCAGACACAAGGTTCTCATGAAATTCAAAGAACTGTACAACACTGTCAGAAATAAGAAGAGAGATGCCCCAAAATATATCACCTTATTGAGACTTCAAAGCATAAAATCCCTTCAAAATATCAAATAAGAAGAGAGTCTTGTCATAACATGGTCAAGTTAGAAGAGGACCTCAGAAAATGCCCAATCCAACCCTTCCACCCTACAGATAAGAGAACAAGGTCAAGATCCTATTGACAGTTCATGGCCGGAAATTCAGATGTCTTCACTTTCAATCTGGGGCTCTTCTCTACACAACGCCACCTTTTAAGTATTTGCTAGGCAAAGACATAACTTCTGTTTTAAATAATGTGATTTGAAGTTAAATACTGTTTTGCCACTTCTTATTCAAGTTTTTACCTTGTTTTTGGCTAGACTGTGGCTGAAATCAAGAACTTAATATAGTTTTAAATATTCTAATTCAGTGTATTTAATTGGTTAGAAATAGACTCCACTGACATATTTGACAGCTTATTCATGTCTTAAAATAGAGTGAAATGGAATGGCTGAACAGCCCTCAAAAGCCAATGTACGCCTATGGGTTTCTACCTGGGTAGAGTCTATAGTTGGGCACTAGTAATTTCATAGAAAAAAATAGTTTTATAATTCATAGAAATCTTTTCAGTTACTGAAAACTACATTGTAATAATCACATTGTTATCCCCATGATTTACTGAAATAATTTTTACATTAATATACAACCAAGCTACCATAGATTTTGTAGCATACATATCGAATACAATGATCATCAACATGTTCTCAGGTTTAAATGAAATACGAAAAATTAAAATATGAAAATACAAATGATATTTTAAACTTATCAGCACGGTGATAAATCTGCAGTACATATAACTTGCTATATGTGTATTTCAAATTTCTCTTTCATGTTTTAAATAAAAACAGACCAACTGAAATCAGTGTCAAGCTTTGTATGACATTACCATGCAGAAACACTGGACAACCAAAAGACAGACTGGTTGATGGATACATTTCAGGTAGGATTTTCCAATGTCTTCAAAGGTCTTTCAAGGGAGTGAGATGAACAAAAAGAAGAGGTGTCAGTGACCTACCTGCACCAGAAAGGAAGCAAGTAGCATGGTAACAATACTTTAAGATCAGTTTGATGAAAATAAATCATCACATATGCATATAAATTGAGCATAAAAATGAATGCAGCTTATTTTAAACTATTTTGGTGTGTTGTTTTAAGGTAGGTCACTGAGACACAAAGAGAAAACCAGATGGGGGAAATTAAGCACAAAAATAAAAAAGTAAGAAAACTTGAGTTCAGTGATGGATTCTCAACAAACACTGAACTAATGTGCAAAAGGGCCTGAAATTTCACATGACAGCAATGTTATTAAGTCAGTTGGCAAAAAAGTATAAAAAATAACTAAACTCAAATACTAAAACTGTATCTGCATGATCATACATTCTGTTTACTGCAAGAAAAGAGGTTAGAAATTATAACATATCTAAAAATATCACACCTCAAAATTAAAATACAAATGTGGCAGTTTTATAAACTCTGTCCCTTTTCCTCACTGCTGAGGCATGGGGTGAAACTAGGAGATACAACAGTGCCCCTCCCTTAGGATTATAAATATAGTACACCAGAATAATAAGACCATGCAACTTCTTTTGTTCTTAACTGTTACAAGACAAACAAAAAAACCTCACTTAAGAGTACCTCTACTTTCTTTGCAAGAACCCAGTGATTTGTTTGACTTAGCAAAGTATCCATTCAAATCCGTCTTAGTTTCTTTTCCTTTAAAAAGTTTACAATGAGGACTACATGAGAAACCTTTAAATCTGTCACTTTTAATAAGCTTGTTCTATTAAAATATCAGCTAAAACTCTCATGGAAGAGTTAAGGTTTAGAAGTCTTAGAGAACTCCTCCCTAATACCTACAGAAGTGCTGGTTCCAAGCAAGAAAGTTGGATTTTGCAGAATGAGACTTGTGAGTCTCACAGTATGGGCTGGTCGCTGAGTCACTCCAGGGAAGGAGGATATGAGAAAAGACAAAAGAAAATAGAATTTTTGGTCTATAGGAATCCAAATTGCTGGGTCTATCTACTCTGTCTATATTTCTAGAATAGTGAATTCCAAGGAAGTTATTGTCCTAATTTGTGTAAATTTCCTTGGCGATAAGACAGTCCATCTTCCAAGATTGTAAAGGATTTTTGGCAAAACTGAGTCTGAGCTGCTCAAAGTGAAAGTGATTATTAGTAAGTTTATTTTCAAGCCATTGGCCAACAAAAATACTGGCAAAAACTACTAAAAGCCATATTTACCCTTCCTTTCAAAGATCACGTAGCCGTTAACACTGCCCCTATCAAACACCTACAAAATAAAATGGAGCACGGTAGAGAGGAAAACTAATGAAAAGGAAGAAATGGCTGGAGGAATGGGGAGAAAGACACCCAGAAAGTAGGAAAGTGGTCTCAACTGTGTCACGGCACGGACAAAGCTTGCTGAGCGGTGCCTGGTTAGAGGTGGATGCAGAGCGCACACACGATGGCGGTAAGACCTCACTCAGCTGCTGGAATGAAGGATAGGTAACTGCGCGGCAGGGGCGCTCTGGGCTCCACCTTGCATCTCAAGAGTGTGGAGACTGAGTGTGAGCTCGGCTGCCATCTCTCTAAAAATCGCTGAATTCTTTTGAACATTTTTCTGTTATAGAGACACGAATATCTTCCTCTTCATAGTCATCGAAGTTGCTGGTATCTCCAGAGCCTCTGAACTTTGGTATGAACGGAGCCTCAACCTACAATTGAGAAAAATAAGAGAAAAAAAGGAATTCTTAAGAATTTCTAAACACAAAGGAAAATAAATTCCTACTATTCTCCTATGATGGCATCTTGAAGTGCCATTAACTCCCTAAAATATAATATCATTAGAAGAAATAAACAGTACATTTATTTCTCTAATAATCTCAACATATTCACTCTAGGAAAAGTACATGCCAACAAAATACGAATGACATTTCTAGGAAAATTAACTCTTATTATCAAAATAGTGGCTCCTTAAGTCACAGAACTCCGTAGATTTCTATTAGTTTTCTATTTCCAAAGCTTTTTATTTTCTTCCTTTAAAAATTTCTTTTTCCCCAAGTGTAGTAGATATATCTTAGATGAACTTGTAATCTGCTTCCTTTTGTTGTGGGTGGTGTCACGCTACTGAGTACTAAACCCATGGCCTCATGCATCTCAGCAAAAAGCTCTACGGCTGAGCTATTCCCCAGCCTTTCTACTTCCTCTTTAAATTCCCAATTTGCTTTGTTTAAAATATCTGGTTATCAGACTGGGCATGGTGGTGCACGCCTGTAATCTCAGCTCTTGGGAGGCTGTAAACAGGCGGATCATTATGAGTCCGATCTAGTAGTGAGACCCTGAACACCCTATTGACCCTTCCCTAAAATATAAATAATTAAAATATCTGGTCATCAACACTTTCTAGGAAGTTGGAAAGAAACATACCTCTTCTAGAATAATAGGATTGTGAAATCCTAAACATTTGTCTCTTTTGATTCTGAAGATAGATGCCTTTTGAGTATTTAGGCTATGGTATTCTTCAAAGATTTCATGGTGTATTAAATGTGTGAGGAAAAGCAGAAAACAGTAACGCTGCAATTTGCACAGCACTTACACAATGGGTCTCCAGTTTTCTTCCAGAGCTTTTCTACTGCCTACACTGGAGGTCTCAAAAGCTTTCTATGTACATATTTTTCAGTAAAATACTTTTTACTATACATCACTTGTATGCATACATATAATAGCTATTTATGTATAAATTTTTATACGCATGGTTATGCTAATATTAGATATACAAATAAACTAGACATTTAAAAACTAAGGTGGAAAATAAGTAGGAATGGAAAATGCAAAATAATTATCATTTGCTAGCCAGTCGCCTTGCCTGCCCTGCTGTGGGGACTGCTGTTTTGTGCTAGACAGGAAAGCAAGCGAGGCAGACAGCAATTAAGATCACACTTATAGGGCAACCACACTGCTGTACAGTTTAAATTATGTAGATCACTGTATTGTCCTGTTTTTTTCCTTTTCTGGTAGATATATTAAGACTTTCACTGCTCATAAAACTAGATTAGAGAATCAACAAGATTATAAAAATCCTACATTTACTAGTTTTTTGTGCTGTTGTGTATAGTTTTAATCAACAAGATATCAAAACAAATGCCTGAAGTACTAGATTATTTCTATTTGTAAAATATGCAGAGATCTTCATATTAATTTAATTTATAGTGATATCTGGTTATCAATCAATTTGCTTAATACTACAATTTGGTTTCCTACAGTCTACCACTTTTGAATAAATTAACAATAACTAAAGCCCCTTTGAAAATACATGAATTGTATGTGAGTGGCAGCAGTTCTGTTTTATTGCGTTAGCAGAACAATTATTAAAAATTTGATATACGGTATGGATGGATTATGATACAGAAAGTAAATGCAGAATAACAGCAGACAATTTTATTTATAAATATGAAGATAGTCAAAATATATCACAAAGCTTTAAAACACTAACAAATTATAAACAAATCTAAAAATACCTAATATAACATTAATTAACAGGAAACACAACAATAAAGATAACATATGCAGTAATAGCTATAAAGGAATATGGATGGCTTTAGAAAATATAAATTTCTAAAATTGACTCAAGTCTATAGTCTTTTTTTTTTTTTTTTTTTTTTTTTTTAGTGGAACTGGGGATTGAACTCAGGCTCTTATGCTTGCCAGGCAAGCACTTATTCTACTGAGCTGTATCTCCCCAGCCCTCAAGTCAACAGTCTTCATCTAAAAATTTATAAAGAATAATTATAATTATATTCTTGAATTATTTGAAGAAAAAAAAAATGGAAAATTTCCAATCTCATTTTATGAATCTCACACAATCTGCACTCCAGAAAAACAAGAACTATAGATGAATGAAGGAGCTGTCTATGGAAGTAAAAGTCTTAAGTTAAATGTTCACAAATTGATTTTGGAGAAATATCAAAATAAACACACATCATAATTAAATTGTATTATTCCAGAGACACAGATACCTGCCCAATATTATTAATCACAATAGTACGTCAAAGAAGGCATCCTATGAACCAGGGTTATTTTCTAATCTGGTTGAAGAATATGTATCTTAGACAAATAGCCAGCTTTACTTTGGTGGTAAAGCATGAAAGACCTTCCTGTTCAGTAATGATACAAAACAAGAAAGCTAAATATCTTCTATTTAAAAATACCATTCTTGGGCCAGGGAGATAGCTCAGTAGAAAAAGCGCTTGCCTGACAAGTGGAAGGGCCTGAGTTTAATCCCCAATACCACAAAAATAAATAAATAAATAAATAAATAAATAAGAATTCTAGCAAAAAACAAAATACCATTCTAGACATTTTTTGATTATATAGTAAAACAGAAGTTGTATTTCAAAATAATAGAAAACAGGCAAAATGAAATCCTTGTCCCTGTGGGTGGCAATAAAAATCCAAAGAAATCACAAATAACCTTTTGAAAGCAACAACAGAATTTAGTACAGTGGTAAAATTATAATGTAATTACAGAAAATATGACTTTCTCATATCTTGCTACAATAGCAAAACACATTCACAATAGCAACAAAACATAAATTTAAAGAATAATCGAAGCTTTATTTAATTCCAAAAAATATTTGAATCAATGTTTAAGTATAATATGTTCACTATGGTACATTTTTAAGATTCAGATTTTCTCCTAGTTGATATTCAACTTTGCTATAATCACAAGTAAAATCTCCCAATACAATGTAAATATTTAGAAAATTCAGACAATAGATAAGCCACTGGCAAGTCTAATTTTTAAAAAGGGGAAAAATATAGAGTTAAAGATGGCTCTTAGAAAATACTTATTTATATTTCTAAATATTCATTAATACTTAGATTAATAAAATTTCCTCTAAAATAATATATAAAAAGAAAATTTGGAACCATGATAGAGGAATTAGACCCAGATAACGTTAAACAGCATTGTTAAGTTATAGGGTACAAGAATTAACAAGGAGAACTAAAAATAATAAAGTTCAGAAGTAGATAAAAGTATTCAGCATTAAAATGGGACCAAATCAAGATTATTCAGTAAATGCTGCGAGGGCAATGGGCTCTTCCATAACAACACAGAAGTTATATTTCAAAAGGTACTAGAAGAAAACACCCGGTAGAGGGGCACACTCAGAGCCTGCTTAGCGGCTCCTGAACATCCATCCCTCAGGCAGGTGACATCTTAACCAGCTGGTTCTGTACTGAATAAACTTGATGAAACTGTCATTCTTTCCTTTTTTTTTTTTTTTTTTTTTTGGTACTGGGGAATGAACTCTGGACCCTGTGCTTGTCAGGCAAGCACTTATTCTCCTGAGCTATCTCCTTGGGCCCAAAACTGTCATTTTTATATTTCTGGCTATATTATCTTATAAAAATTAATGAAAACTGCCATTTTTGATCATTCTGTGTTTAAATAATTGAACTAAATAAGTAGTTGAAAATGATTTTGTAATATAGCAGTGAACCAGCTGAATGGAACTGTGCCCAAGTACTGACTGTGATGTAGAGGGCTGAAAAAGAAACACACAGGCGTGGAGAAAGGAAGTTTTAGGCGGTCACTCAGTTATGCGAAAGAAAGTGGTGATGGAGAACACAGAGACAGGAATGAATGTGGTGATGGAGAACACAGAGACAGGAATGAAAAAGTATGTCAAATGGCAACAGCTATGATACCTAGATAGTAGGTTTATAATGATTTCAAATATATTTTCTTAACAAATTACCTGATAGTAACTATAAGAGATAAATCTCAACTGGAAAAAAACCCTTCATCAATCTAGTCTTTCTTCTGAAAATATTTTTTCTTTTGCATTGTCTATCTTAATCCAAATATTAAGGATAATAAAAAAGATGTTTTGTAGAGGTCCAATTCAGTCAAGACCATACTAAAATCTCATCTGACTAGGAAGCTTTACATCAAAAGAAATCACCAATTGAGTGAAAAGAAAATCAACAAAGTGGGAATGAATTTTAGCCAACTGAGCCTCAAACAGAAGACTTATATCTAGAACATACAAAGAATTGAGAAAACTCAGCACCTCCCCACCCCCAATTCAAAGACCTGGTCTCAAAATGAGCATCTGAGACAAATATGCATCTCTCAGATGAAGAAATACAGACAGCAAATAAATATATGAAAAAATGTTCAACATAACTGGTCATTCAAGAGATGCAAATTAAAACCACACTAAGAGTTCATCTCACTCCAGAAAGAAGGGCTGTCATCAAAAATTCACACATGGCTGATACTGACAAAGGATCTACCAACAGCAGCTGTACAGGCTTTCAGGGTAAAGGTCAGGGGATTCAACTGACCTTGGCACATACAAAAGTTACATTTCTTGTTATATAGGTCTTGCTTTATCTTGGTGTTAACCATCCAGCAGAAAAGTATGAACACAAGGTATAAAAAGTAAAGCCATATTAATATACTGAGCTGTAAAAGGCTCAAGTCAACAACTTCTGACATTGCCAGTCTTATGGATCACCCACTACTATTACGGGCTACTGGACTATATTGGAATATTGTGCTGAATTCACGCACCTACAATATTTAAATGATAATAGAATATTCAACTCTGACAAAACTAAACAAAAAAGGGATACAAATGAAGAACCATTTTGTATCTGTATATTCAAAATAGTGATGGTAGATATATAGCTACTTTCTCTTAATTCAACGACTAGAAAGATTTGTGCTAATACTGTCTGTGGACAGGATATCATGTCTGCATCTTATACTATGAATAACCACTAAGAAAATAACAATATGCAATGCATTAATTATTGAAATTGTCCTACTAATTGGTTTTGAAACTGTCTCATTGCTATCTGTTTCTCAATAAAATTGCTAAAAAAAAAAAAAAAAAGAATTCAACCAATAAAAATGCTGGAGGGGCTATAGAGAAAAAGGAACACTTCTCCACTGTTGGTGGGAGTGTAGACTAGCAAAGCCAGTATAGGAATCAGAGTGGAGATTTCTCAAAAAACTAGGACTAGTGATTCTATTCCACCAGCTATTCCCCTCCTGGATATCTTCTCAGAAGACTTACAAACATCATTATCACGTGATATACATGCACCCATATTTATAGCAACACAATTTGTAATAGTTAGATCTTGGAAACAAAGCCCATCAACTGAGGAATGGTTAATAAAGATGGGGTATTTTATATGATGGAGCACTACTCAGTCATAAGACAGATCAACTGGAGACTTTTATATGTACACGGATGCAACTTAACACCATCCTCCTAAATGAAATAAACCAGACACGTATGTGCAAACATTCTATTGTCTCCCTAGTGTGAGAAACGGAAAGAGTAAATGTACAATAGATACTGTAGACTGGAAAGCAACTGTCCAAAAGGAAACAGAACCTGGGATGAGGAAATGAGAAAAGATGGAAGGGAAAAATACATTTAGATATACAGGATAGGTTTTTTTTTTTTCTTCGCAGAACTGGGGATTGAACTCATGCCCTTGCCATGCAAGGGCTTATTCTACTTAGCCATCTCCCTGGCCCCTACAAGATAGCTAAGATAGTTATACTACTAATTTCTGTTAGTTCATTGAAAAGAAAGGCCTTGATATGACTGTTTGTCCAATTAAATGACTGTATCTTGTACTCTGAATAATTTAAAGATAACATGCAATGTATTAATCATTACTGCTCTCCTGTTATCTTGTTTGAAATTTTGGATTTTTTTTTTTAACTCTTTAAAGTAAAAATAACTTTGAAAACACCACTATGGATTTTATTTATTTATTTATTTATTTATTTTTTTGTGGTGGAACTAGGGATTGAAGTCAGGCCCTTGCACTTGCCAAGGAAGTGCATATTCCACTGAGCCATCTCCCCAGCCCTGGATTTCATTCTTGACTACATTACACATCCATTTGAGATAATAATGCTAACAGTTATATTTCATGAATTTAAAAACTAACTTCTAGAACCCTCTTGTGAGGTACAGAAGATATATCATCACTGTTCTGATCTTACTATATTTTCTATTTGTTACATTTTAAAAGTCTTTTATTGATTTGTTTTTAAAATGCTTTTAATATTTAACTTGAACACCAAAATTTTTCTCCTTCAGAAAACTTACACATATTGATCCACAGCAGTATAAAACATGGCAATTCTCTGAAACAAGTTTTGCTTTTATTTTTTAAAATGAAAAAATAAACTCAAGATAAAAGAACTATACATGAGAGTTATTTTTGTTGGCACTGAAGTAAAAGGAGAGATAAAGGTAATTCAATACAGTGAAGTCTTTTCTTAAATTTCTCAATTTATTACAAAGATAAAGTGAGGACTATTACTAACATACTATAATCAGCATAGCTAATACACTGGTAACGGGAAATATAAAAACTAGTTTCTTTTAAATATGCTACTGTTCAATTACAAGTTATCCACTTTTATTATGATTCATACTAGAAATTAACTTAGTTTTATATTTACATTCTAGCCTTGAAGTTGCCTTAATTTCAGAATCTCTTATGCAAAAAAAAAGACAAAGACTTCACACACAGACTTAGTCTTTTTTTTTTTTTTTCTTACATGACTAAGTGAATAAGCTTTCTGCTCCCTGAAATTGTAAAGTTCCTATGGGCAGGAACTGAAGGTGATTATGCTCATCAATAGATTCGCAGCACATAGTAGAATATCTACCATAAATTCAGGTATTCAGAAAATATATGGAGAAATATGCAAATAAATACTTGCCACAAGAGAAAATATAGTAGTTTCAGGTAATTTGTTTATTCAAAAGAAGCCTTAATCAGAATTCCTATTTCCACTATTTATCCTTCAGGGCCATTGCTGGATAGGACCCTGTACTCATTCATATGTTGCCTTTTTTTTTTTTTTCATGTATTTAGTACAGGGTCTACAGGATCTCACTACACAGATCAGACTCATAGTGATCCTCCTGTTTTCAGCCTCCCAAGTGCTAGGATTACAGGTGTGCACCACTATGCCCATTTGTAATCGCCATCTCAGGGCACCCCAGGGGATCGAACCCTGGTCCCTATGTCAGCCTGAGCTGGCACTTTAATCCACTGAGCTATCTCGCTGGTCCCATATGTTGCCTTTTTAAGCAGCTTCAAGCCAGTTTTGAAATGCAAGCTCTCAGGAGGCTGTCCACTACATAATTTCCACAGGACTGTCTGGAGTGAAGGGTACGTGAAAAATCCAACAAGAAAAGCATTTCAGATTAATGATGAAAATACAAAACAGTATTTCTCTTTTATCTCAGCAAAAGAATCATTTTTAAATTGTGGGCTATGGGCAGGCAAGATAGCTCAGCAGACTATGTGCCTGCTTAGGCAAGCACAGGGACCGGATTTGATCCCTAGCACCACATGACTTGCTGGCCCTGCCCCCAGGTGTGCTGAGCTGGCCACCATGACTGGGCATAGTGGTACATGCCTCTAGCCTGTAATTCCAGCACTGAGGAGGCTGAAAATAGGAGGATTACTAGGAGTCTGAGCTGTGTAGTGAGATCCTATAGCAAATACATAAAAATAAAAATAATAATAAATTGTGGCTATGAAGTACTTTAGATTCTATATATGACTAATTTAAAAGACAAAACCCTCTAAAGGTGAAAATGCCTCTATAATTTAAAAAAAATCTTTAAAAAAGTTTTAAAACTGAAAGAAGAGTCTCACCTTCCTCTGGTAAATCGCAATCCAGTCTGTTGTGGCAAACCACTTGTGGGTTTTTATATCACTGACACCGTTCTTCAGATTTCCAAATCGCTTTGTCAGATCCACTTGGAGCAGGTTCCTCAGAAGATCCTTGAGATCTGAACTGAAGTGAGATGGGAATCGGACCTGGAAAAATGAGAGTATGTGCTAAAACCCATGTTTAAGCTTTTGCCATTCTTGTTTTGATTTCATAAAGGCTTCTGTCAAGGTGAAAGGTTATTATGTAGACAGAAATATTTAGTGATGCCCCTCGGATCTTCAAATACTTTTAACTTCATGCTACAGAATGCAAATTATCTGGGTGAATGGGGTAACAGTGGATTTTTAGGGTCTTATACTAATCACGAACTTTCTTCCCTTTAAGGACATAATGAGCTGCGCACACACTTAGAACTTTGCCAACCATCTCAGAAGCCTCACGCGGCTCCCAGAGACAGCCCCTGGGGTCTCACTTTATAAGCTGCTACCTCAGAGATATACAGAGTAAACTGGTAATAGAAACTGAACAAGCACTATGGTGTACATTTTGAAAATTGATCTATCCAAAAAGAAGTCTAAAAATGATTATAAAAACACATATTGCCTTTCACAGCACAGGAAACTATTTTTCATGTGTTAGTAGACTGCTTTTAAGCATAATTCTGCTGTTATGTAACAGCATGACTGGAATACTAGGAGACAAGATGATGAAACAATCAGATTCCTGAGGATTAGGTACAATGATTGTCCCCACTTCATAGGTGTGGGTGAAGCAATTAAGACTTATACTGATTAAATAATCTGCCCAGGATTATACAGGTAAATGGTAGCACTGTTACTCTAAACAGGTGCTCTGACTACAGAGTATATACTTCTGACTATTCTAGACTGGTTCCCTGATTCCACAATCTGAACACAATCAGGATGAAGAACATCCTAAAACTGACATTTTCCTTAAAGCTTTTCCCCCTCATTTATCCTAGTTGACGTAACAGAGAACAAGGAGTTCTTAAAGGACACATTATTTACTTCAAAAATAATGATTTTTTTTTTCCTCAGTGGTTATATTAACTTAGACTTTGCCTATGGTACATCTAACCTCTGTTCAGATGCCAAAGAAATCTTACTTGAGATGGGTCTGTCTGTATTTGGAATTGAATTTGCATCCACTGTTCAATGGTAACATGCCAGTCATTTCCTTCATGATACCCAGAACTGTGGACAGTGACTTACTAAATGAAAGTTAGCTTCTGGATTGAAGTAATAGATAATGTAGTATGTGAAGAATATAGGTATATAAATAAAGTAGCCATGTATGTATGTGTGCATGTACGCATATAAATAAAGTGGTGGTCTCAGATTAGTTAAAGGGAAGAAGGTGTATCTGTGTATATGCTGCCAACAGCAATTCTCCACCACATGGAATGGCAGTGGTTTACAGCGGATTCATTTGAGAATTTCTCAAAACTACAGACGTATCCTCTTTGCTACTACGTTACCCCCTCTGCTCCAGATTTTGGTAGGTGGCTCACACTCTCATAACAGTGAACATTAATAGTGGCAATTTCTTATATCTTAGAATATACTAGAGGAGAAATTGTAAGAATTATTGCGGAAATATTTTCTATGATTGTTCTGAAATATAATCTGATACTTAATTTCTAGAGCCATGCCATATCATCCAACTGGAATTAGTAAGACACAATAAAAAAACCATTAATAACCTTCCCTCCTCCCCTCCTTATTTTCTCTTCTTGCTTTTGGTGCTGGGGATTACACTTTGACTTCTTCTTTTTTTTTTTTTTTTTGGTGGGGGGGACTGGGGATTGAACTCAGGCCTGTGTGCTTGCCAGGCAAGTGCTTATTCTACTGAGCTATCTCCCTGGCCCCTCACACCCTGCCTTCTTTGCAAGCTTAGTGTGTACTCTGTCACTGGGCCACATCCAACAGCAGATCCTCACTGACAGATTTTGAGAGAAGTGACAGGATTTGATTCAACATTTTTAAAAGAACCACTCTTAGGCCAGTGACATAGCTCAGTAGACTAAGTACCTGCTTAGGCAAGTGCAGGGACCAGGGTTCGATCCCCGGCCCACACGTTGCATCAGCCCTACCCCTGGCACACTGAGCTGGCCACTGAGACTGGGCATGGTGGTGCATGCCTATAATGCCAGCGCTGGGGAGGCTGAAAACAGGAGGATCACTACAAGTCCGAGCTGCGTAGTGATACCCTGTACTAAGTACATCTAAAAACCAAACAAACAAACAAGCAAACAAAAAAACACTGTCATGGCTTGGAGAGGAAAGGTTGTGGTGCAGGTGGGAAGAACTGCTTCTGCACACATCCCAAGAGCAGAGCCAAGTATCTCCCTGCGCACAGGATGTGGGATGAAGACCCCCAACCTCGGCCTGAGCAACTGCAGGGATGGTGCTGCCTTCAACTGTGGTGCAGAAGCCTGTGCAAGAAACTCATTTTCTAGGGGAGATAAAAACCTGCGAGTCACAGAGATGTTAAATTTAGCAAATTTATTAGATAGCAGAGGGAAGATCTCAAATAGGACGCTGAATACAGGTGCCAGCTATGAATTGAAAGAAATGAATGTGGAAATTGTAAGCTGGCTCTACAGATGGGGGCTGGGGCCACCGGTGGAAGGAAGACATGGCCTAGCTGAGGAGACCAGGAGGGAAGGAACAGCAGTGGAGGGATGAAAAAGGCTGTAAAAAAGTCAGAAACACGAGCCAACCATGGAGCCAGATTCTAGATTTGCATTTAGGTTTTAGGCAATTCTGCGATTTTCTTTACCTACACATAGGATGAAGGAGATAAATGGAAGAAACTTTAACATTTTTAACACTTCAAAATTTTACCAGCTATGTCTTTTTAACAATTTATTCATTTGTTTCTTTCTATTAGGAGATAGGGGCTTGTTATGTGGACCAGGCTGGATGCAAACTGTTGGGATGAAGCAGTCCTCCTGCCTCAGCCTCCTGAGTAGCTGAAATTATTTATTGCTGCACTTAGCAAAGCTATTTCTGTTGTAGAAAGAAGTCCTGGATTTTAATTTCTACACCATTTAAAAACATGCTCTGACCTAGGGAAAGCCCCTTTACCTTTCTGAATTTCAGTGTTTTCATCTCTAAAATGCTGAGAATATTTTTCATCCAGCAGGTATGAAAAGAAATTATGTAATTTGAAAGAATCTGCCTTTCTTTTTATGCCTAATATCTTATTAATTAAATTTTAATTAGATGCTAATTAAATGGTTTTCATTTTTTAAACTTCCCAACAGGATACTAATTTAATCATTCTAAACTGGAATTTTAGATTCAAAGAAGGAACTTGGAAGATAGCAAATCTAAGATTATATTGCCTAAGGACTCTGGTGCATGTCAAAAATCATTTGGAATGCACAGAAAGCTCCTCTTTTCCTCGTGGCTTCTGCGCCACCTGTTCATTTTGGAAGAAAGGCTTTCTTAATGGCTTTAATGGGGTAAATGGATAGCTACAGATTTGTCTTAGAAGGACAGCATGGTAAATATATCCGATACCCAAAATTCCTTTGTCAAACTACTTTATGCAATATAGTGAACTACAAAACTCACTCTGAATTGAGCAGACTCAACAGAGTATTTATTTTGCTTTCAGACAATTTATAAAGCCTTATACATCTCAGTTTCAGGGATGACTGTTATTTTTTACAAATTTAAGAGGAAATGACATCCAACAAAGTGAATCAGTTCACGCTGTTATGGTATTCATGATTTACATTCACTAACTGACTTTATTCTGTTTTTCTTTTAGAAATGAAATAAGTCCAAATCAAATTTATCTATATTGAGCTTAATTCTAGAAATTATAAGTTGATTTTTGGCTGATAAAAGGGAAAACTTTTGCTGCTATTCTGCAATTACTGGCAGGGGAAAAGGGTGGTTAAGTAGTAGCATTATCTTTTATGTACTGGGATAAAATTTACTGGGCTTAAATGACTCAGGAGAGTTTGCACACAGCCAACAAGCAATAACCTATTAATTTCTGGTCTTAGCATATTGGAATAAATTTAAATTATCTCCCTAAGTGAGGTACAAGAGCTTCCAAAACATCTGCAGTACCAGTAAAGGATTTATCTAGCAAAATTATCATATATATTAGTTCAAGTTTTCAAAGGCCCCAACAGCTTTTTATAAACTAGTGTTCGGCTTCTATAGACATGGTGCCAACCTCCACACTGCCTCAAAAAACCCAGGGTAAATTTAATCACCCTGGATGCTATAAATAAAAAGGAAGAGCAAAGAGAGTTGAAAATGTTTATAAATTCTGGTGCCACGTCTACGGGCTCCCTAATTTGTTCTCCGTGCTATGCAGAAATAGTAGCAGATAAACAGATTTCGTGGTTGAGGAGAAGCACTAGACACACTACGCTCACTCCTCCCTTGCAGTAGAGAGCCATTTTGTAATCATTTGCTTGGCAGACTACTGAAGCGCTGTCTCTAAGCAGGTATTAATGAGGACTGTAAATGACTATAGCAAAGTGTTACAAAAATGACCGTATATAAATAGCAGAACTGCCTTTGATTTTATGAAAATGACTTCTGAGTACTTCTAAGCCTTTTTAAACATAGCCATGGCCAAACAGAAAATAGCATTTAAATATTCCAAAAAAGTATTAGCAATGGCATCTTGAAAAAAAATGCAGAAATGTTTCTGCATATGTGTGTGTTACCAAGGAAACAGAGTATGTGCAGAAAAGAGTTAACAAAGGCAGGCCTGAGATCGGCATCCTTAGGACTCCCTGCGACTTGAACTCTGGCAGGTATCTGGAAGCATGAATGGTATCAGAGCCTTACACTGGGTCATACTTTCCCTTCACGACAAGAGTGGCTTGGACTGTGTAAAAGGAATATCATTTATGCTGAGTAACTGCCTTCATTCTGGGGATCTTAGATTTGGGTATGTACTTTGTAGTGCATACAGGCACAGTCTCCAATAAAAACAGGGGGGCAAAGCCTCGAATGAGCTAGCGTACCACGTTTCACAAGTCACTAGAGTAGGAGTTAAAGCGTACTGCTCTGGCTGCACTGGGGAACGACTTGAAAGACTGTTCCTGATTTCCTCTGGACTTCGCCTTTTTCCCTTTGCTGATCCCCTATTTTGTAAGAAGTCTTAGAAGTATCATTATATGCTAAGTTCTATGAGTTTACACAGGGACTTAAAAACCTGGAGATGGGTTTTGGGACCTGTGACACAGAAAACAACCTCCAATGAGCTGCTGATCATTTACCCTTCAAGTGAGCATTCACCTACATTTGTGAACAATTAACCAAGTCTTTGATCAGTCAGTATAAGCTTGTGTTTCTACTTCTAGGCTCTGTGCAGTATTTTCTTATACATTATTTGTGCTCCTTAAAGATGGAATAATATTTACATTATATGCAATGATGCTCAGAATTTTAAAAGATTATGAAAGCCAGCTTTTAAAATCTGGTTTCCATAACAGCTATCACTTGATTGCCCTATTTGCAATATCATTTTGTGCACTATACTAACTTTTATACATCCATGGATAATCCAGCCACGTAGAGTTGCCATGGAAACCAGGACTGATTCTCCTCACAGAATATATGGCACAAGGCACTAAACTTAGACTATATACGGAAACAACAGCATATGTATTGCTAGGACGAAGCACAGTTAAATTCAGAATTATAAATTTTTTTCTGTCTGCTACGTGTTTCTAAACCAGAGCCTTAATACTGTATGAATAATTTGACATTTAAATACCACCTCTTCTGTTTTTGAAAAGCAAAATATGTGTAGGAGAGACTCTTAACAAGCTGATTGATCATCTTTCTGTACATTTAAAAATACCAGTTTTAGTAGAAATATTATAGCACAGAAAATATTTAAACTAATGTTCAAATATATGTGTCTCAGTGAATTAATCATTTATTTCTATTTTAACTTTTGACTGTCATTGCTATCTATACTTTTTATGGTATAGCTTCAGGATGGAAAATACAATCAACATAAAATGTTACATAAGGATTGTTTTTTAAAAATCAGAAAAAGCCATTCTGAATGAAAAACATATTCTTGAATGCTATTTTATATTAAGACCATTAAAAATTTAAATGGAAATAGGCGATTCATAAATATGGACCGGAATTGGATTTTAAATTACTTGAAAAATTAGAAGAATTTAAAAAAACTAGTTAGTTTCCAATCTAGCTTTTAACTACTAACCGGAGAGACAATACAAGTTTTACAATATGGATAGAGATACATTTTAGTTTGGATTTGGATGTGGGAAAGAAGTGACTATGACTCATATTTCAGTCTTTTTTGATGGTTCTGTAAGAGGTATTTGTGTTTACCACTGACATAGAGGAGGTGTAAGATTTTGTTAGTCTGCTAATTTATGAATACCGACATCTTGGGCAGGAAGGTCAGTGATCCTGAACAAAATGCCTTGGGGAGCAAAATCAGAGACTATAAAAGAAAGGTCTGTGTGGTTACGTACGAAGTGTAAAGCCTTATGACGCAGTCAATTACTCATGTACAAGAATATTTGTATCAATGGCAATTAAAATCAACACGAACACTTTTGTTACAATCAAGTGTATAAACTCATCCATTTATCTATCTATCTTTCTTTCTTTTTTAGTACCAGAGATTGAACTCAGGGCCTTGTGCTTGCCAGGCAAACACTTATTCTACTGAGGTAACTCCCTGGCTCCCTTTATATTTCTTTCTAATGTGGGGATTTCTGACATAATTCAAACCAGAATTCTCTCCTGAAAAAGAAGTGGATAGAAAAACAGCTCCTAAAACTTCTCTCCAAGGAGATATCCATGTGAAATAACTAACAATTTTTACATATTTTTAAGGAATACTGAGAACTATAGTAATCACTGTTGTTTTGTAAGCAATAAAAAGTATTAAAAAACAAATTTGCTTTACCATATTGCTAATTTGCTTACACAACTGTCATTTTTTCTTACAAGTTCAGCATTATCAGATAGTTCTATATTTTTTCAAAGTTAGGATATAATACTGTGATGACACAATATGACGCCAACCCTTAAAGTGGAAGATTCACATACAGAAATAATGAATAAGAAAGGAATGATAAATACATTACTCACCTTCCCAGAAACGATCTTTTCATAAATCTGAATTGGTTGGTCTGCAAAGAATGGGGGGTAGCCAGCTGCCATTTCATAGATTAGCACTCCCAGCGCCCACCAATCCACTGCCTTATTGTAGCCCTGAGATAAACCAACACCAGTGACAATGATTACTTATGTTACTCAAGAGGAAAATGAAATACGTAATTCAAAATTATCTGGAAGCATATAAAAAATTTTTAAGTAGTTGCTACACAGCTATTTAGGATGGAATTTTAAAAATGAACAGAAAGTATCAGCTCAGATTTAAATCAAAGGGGAGAATTTCCAGATATTGCAGTTGAATATTAGAAAAGATTGTGACATCTTCCTAAAATCAGGATGAATATTATTGAAAATAAAATTTGTCCCATTTCACTGAGATAATTTTGTTTCTCCGCAACAGAAAGGGAGCTAAATCAACACCTCCGAGGGCTCATTAAATGGCCTCCGTTAGCTTACAAATTAGGTTTTCTACAGAAAGCTCAAAGGTTTTGAAACAAAAATAATACTACTGGAATAATACTGGAGCTGATTTCAAAATATTCTACATTCCAGGAGCTTTGAAGGTTAATATAGTAGAGATAACCATGTCTATCTCATAGATTCTTGTGAAGGGTAAAAGTTTAATGTGGAACTAAATTAATATAAATATTTAAGTACAACCTACTTTTGCAATCTACTATTTTTTTAGATTTCAATTTTATTTTATGTTAAAGAGTAAAGACAGAAGCAAAAACAAATAGAAAAAAAGGACAGAAACAGGGTAACACACAACAAGGCATATGTTACAGATTTTTAAAACAGGAATAGCTAACTAATAATGGTTGTTCTATTGGCACTTGTTTTTAAGAAAGCTTAATTTTATTTTTCCTTGTCTTTTTTGGTTTTAATTTATCTTAAAGAGTATATAATAATTGATAAGACATTAAGAACGCTACACAATTTGAAGACCAGGATTAAAGGCATTCAACCATGGGTTTTGTATTACACACTGCTGTCCTCAATGTGCAGTCTTCTATTTTTGATCTCTAAATACATACAGAAAAGAAAATTAGCTCCTAGCGTTTTAGGAAGAGTACAGATATTCCTCGCCTAACGACCTACCTGTTTAAGGACTGTTCAGACTTATGACCGGTCACTCAATCTTAGGACACACTTACAGTTCTGTACATCTTCCTTATAGAACCTCTTTTTTTGGACAGTACTCCTTGCTGATATAGTACTGTAATTTTTTCTGATTGTACAGTAGAAGATGATAGTTTTATGTTCTGCTATACATTACAGTACCATATGTAAGAATGATGTAAACAAAAGCAAAGTCAGCTTTGACCATGTCTTTTTTCTGAGTTTTGCAATGTACCTACTATGTATTTGGTCACTCTTAGTGACCAAATCATTTAACTACATAGTAGCATGACTGTAATTCAGTCATTAAATAAGGAGTGTCTGTACAGTAAATGAAAGAGAATAATACGTGTAAAAATGCTTTGCATACCAAATGTATAATTCAAAGATAAGAGTTAATTGATTTTTTTATGTTAAGGTTTACTAAAGTTAACATTTAGAAGTAAAGAAAAATCAATAATAATATGCATATACTAACATAAGCACACTAAGTCGATAGTATTATTGACTATGTTGTGTCAAGTGCCACAAAAGAATATGGGAAAAAAGCTAATACTCTCCAATCATCAGGAAAAATAGCTGGGCTCTTCCCAGGCCTGGTGTTCTGCTCTTAGTGTCCCCTCTAATTATTATCACCTTTTCCACATTCCAGTCTTTGTTTGAGAGCTTTACAAATGATTTACTTTCCAAATTATTAGCTAAAATATAATACTATAATTCCTTCTGCTCCACTTTTTTTCAGTCCTGGTGATTGAGCTAACAGCCTTTATGCTGAGCTACGTTACCAATTCTCTTTATTTAATCTTGTGGCTAGGTTTCACTAAATCAACAAGTTCTCAAAATAGGCTGAAATTTGTGACCCTCCTGCTCAGCCTCCCAGAGCACCAGATTACAGGTGTGTACCACCATCCCCAGCTATTTCTCCCACCTTTTGTTTCCTGATCCTATATTATTTTGAAAAGGAAAGCTGATATAAAAATAATACTTTATTTTGCTAACAGAAATGGGTAACAATTTTGCTCAGCTCCTTGAGTTCTATGTTTTAAATTCTATGTTAATGTTTCTAGTAAATGTACCAGATACGAGCTAATACCATAAGTATAGAGAATTAAAACAAATCAATAAGGAGAATACTAAGTTACAACAGGTAACAAGCAAAGGACAGGAACGGACAATTTATACATACACACACCAAGAAATATCAAATGGCTATTGAGCACTGGAAAAAAACCTAATAAACAGACATAAAAATTAAAACAAGATATTGCTTATTGCCTATTAAATTAGTAAATATTTTAAATGAGAATATTCAGTTTACACTGCTGGCAGGAGTGTAAAGTGGTACAACCTTTTCAGAAAGCAAATTGGTAATACATATCAAGAGCCTTTAAAATCCTTATATCAAAGCTCCAGTGGCGCAATCGGTTAGTGTGCAGTACTTATAAAATGCTTATATCCTTTGACCCAGAAATTCCACTTCTGGGAATCTGTCCAAAGGAAATTATGTGAAATACATAAAAAGCTTTATGTACAAAGATGTTAATCATAATTATTTATCATAGCAAAAAATGGTAACAAGCAAACAAAAACCCTCTCACAACAATAGCAAGTATAAAAGAAAAAAGAAACAGAAAAGAAAATCTAAATATTCAACAACAGAAGAATGCCTAAATATTTTACGGTCTGTCAGTACACAAACATAAGCACCACACACACACACACACACACACAATGGTGCCTGCATACTTGTTATGCAACTGAAAAAAAAAGACACAAAAACATATGTTCATCATGATCTAACTTAACATGCAAATAAAAATAAACTGATACGTTTTTTCTTTAGTCCTATCTCTAAGTGGTGGCATTACAGGGTTGATTTTGGAAGTTTCTTTATATTTTTCTGTATTTTCTAAATCTTTTACAATAACTATTACTTTTATAATTTATACACAGTTGTGCAAACACTGGTGCTTATTTTGTGGTCATGTTGTTAGCCACATTTAAAGAAGAAACAGCAATGATATTTAGATTACAAGAGTAAAACGTTTTAGATTTAGGCTATGAAAGATAGCAAGAGGAGAGCTATAAAATATTTTAAGCCAAATTCAATACGTCAGTTCATGGCCTGCAGATGTGAGTGCTTTCTTTCTTTCCTTTCCTTGCTCTTACTTACACTCAATTTTTGTTAGCTTCCTTTCCTAGCTTTTTAAAGAAGAGAGAAGTTAGGCCATTCTTTTAAATATGCTTACAGTTTCTCCCACGACATTTCACTATTTGTGAATGTTGTACTGCTTTCAATTGACTAAAGCTATTGAGCTGCCTTAATACTACTATTAAATTAGAATTAAAAATGACTTCATATATTCCTTTCATCTTGGTGGTAAATTTGAGATGAAGGAAGAAACTCAAACCTAGTCCATGTCTTCTCTAGACTGACACCTAGTCCATTTCATCTCTTGCTTGTTTCCGCTCATATTACCCAGAGCAATTATGAAAACACCCTCTGTTTTGGGTGTCAAAACATGAAGAGACACTAGAAGTTAGATTGATTCCTTTTTTTCTGCAATACCCATAATTAACATTGGCAGAAATTTATAAAATAAGTTGTAGACTCTAAATAAAACTACTCTTTAGCAATTATGCATAAGTAGACTTAATTTATATATTAGGTCCAATAAAAACATAAAATTCGGTTCATAAACTTTGGTCAAAACTCCACTGTGACGCACGCCTTGTATTTCTGCTTCAAACAGACTAGCGCTATCAATGTACCTTGCTGAGGATTATTTCTGGAGCCAAATACTCTGGAGTACCACACAGCGTCCAAGTCCTGCCTTTAACTCTTTTGGCAAATCCAAAGTCAGTGACCTATTTAAAACAAAGAAAGAAAGAAACCAAAAACCAAACAGATGTATGAAACTTTATCACTTCACCATAAATGTGTTTAATGTAATTAAAGTTTAAAAACTCAAGGTAAAAACTGAAGCTATGAAAAATGGGGGGGGGGGGAATTAAGTCAATATAATTGAGACTAATCCATGAAGACAAATATTTAGTAAAAGTTAAAACAACCCAAGTTAGAAGGCCTTATGCGCTCTCAAAACAAATGAACAGTAGCAAAACTCTTTATTTTTTTTTTCATAAAATTCCAAGGAATAAAAGGATTCAAAGAAAAAAGTGAAAGTACAACACAAAAATAAATGGCTTTAATAATAATGCAATAATATAACTATTCCTGAAGTGCGATATGTCCTCTAACATTAAATGCTCTGTGAAAGCATGAAACCATGAATGGCAGGATCTACTGATGACTGTGTGCAAGGCGCTACTGCTCCATTGCTAAGTAAAGATGCACCGGCATTTCTACTGCACTACAAGGACTGTACTGCAGTAGTAAAGGGCGTGAACTCAGATCAGACTGCTCAGGTTTAAATCCTGACACTACCATTTAATGGCTGTGTGATCTTCTTACACCTTTCTCTGTTTGTCTTAAAATGAGGAAAACAACAATATTTATACTCCATAGGGTTATAGGATTAAAAGAGATAGTGCAAGTTGATTATCTCTTACTCACAATGCTTGGGACCACAGTAATTCAGATTTTGGGTTTTTCTACATTTTAGAATTTTTGTACATACTTAGTGAGATCTTGGGACAGAACCCAAGTCTAAAGCACAAAATTCATTTATATTTCATATACACCTTATAATCATAGCTTGACTTTATTTTGTACAATATTTTTAACCTGCATTTTGACTACACCCATGGAATTTTAAGCTTGTGGAGGTCATGTTGAGGATTAAATATATAAACTTCTTGCTTAGTATTTTCTTGAATATATTATAGAAATTGTGTTCACATCATACCTGGATGTAACCTTGATGGTCAATTAGGAGATTTTCAGGCTTTAGATCTCTGTAGATGAGGTCTAGCGAATGGAGGTACTCAAACGTCAGCACTATCTGAGCTGCATAGAACCGCGCGTGGGGTTCGCTGCAAAGAAACAAAATGTTGATTTTTGGGTACCAGGGGTAGCCAGTATTAATAACTGCATTATACATAAAAGCTAACATGAACTTCTCTTTCTGGGAAAGAGAAGTCCTTTTGAAGTATATTAAAGAATTTTGTTAATTTCTAAATATTCAGCAAATTACCTTCAAATAATGCTTTGATGCATCTAGGGGACATTGCTTTCTCTATAAACCTGGATATGCTCAGCATGTGAAATTCAATTTACATGGAAGAAAAATATAACCTTAGCCAGGCACTTGGCAAACACCTGCGATCAAAGCACTCTGGGAGGTTGGTGGGAGGTTGCGAGTGGAGGCCAGTTTAGGCAACTCAGCAAAGTCCTGTCTCAAAATGTTTTAGAGGGGGGTAGAGGACAGGGGTATGTAGCTTACTACTACCAAGGCCCTGGTTTAATCACAAGTACAGTACAAACACAGACAAACAAGAAGCAACCAAGCAAGCAAACAAACGAATCATCATCTTAAAAGGCACTTTGCTGTAAATTTTATAGCCCCTACTGGAAGATAGTAATTCTCTAAAAATATATCTGACCCTGAGAATGACTGAAAATAAGGTGCCAAGTAGAAGTGCCCTTGTTATAGTTAATAGGCTCTAGCTACATTCTTCAGAAATTCTGAGTTCCTGAAGAGTTAAACTACTTAGAAGCTTTTTAATTGCATTAACCTTAAGGTTAATGTTAGCACAGGACAAGGGAAATCTAGTGACAAGCCAGAGGAACAGAATACTCACATATTGTTACAAGAATAACATATGCTTTTATAGAAAAAATGTAAGATACCCATAATTCTTTGTGAAAAATAAAGAATATCCATAATTCTTTCTAAAAAATATATATGCAACCTTGGCATGGGATTTCCAAATCCTCCACTGTACACGTTTCTAGAGTCAGTGCATATGTTGAAGCGGTAGGTCTATGCAAACATGCACAGTTCTTGTATGCACAGATTACTTCTACATATCACTGCAATTCTGGCAGCAGCATAATTTGCATGCCACAATCTGAATATAAGTCTAAAAGGAAATACTAATTTTGTAATTAAAATTGTAATTAATTTTCTAGTATATTTTACTGAATTCTGCTAATCCGCTTGATAAACTGCAATGAGTTTTATATTTGCATCTTCAATGAACAATCTTAACTATGAATAGTATTTCCTTCAAGACAAGTGACATGAATTTGATCTGCTAGTATCAGAAACAGAATTTTCAAAAATATGGTAATATGTACGCTACTCCTTTTGCTTGTCACTAGACTTCTCACGTCCTATCCTGCTTTACATGAGTCCTCAGAAAATACTGAATGTTTAAAAATTATATTTAAAAATAATATTTTAATATAATATACCATCCTCAGTACCTTTTGAGGCCATACTCAGATTTAGCTGAATTATTACATATAGAATGAATGAAGCTGACCATACTTTTGGTTTTAACTTCATTCTACTACAGATTACTAATTAACACTAGCAATCTATGAGGTATCATACAGATAAAATTATCAGGATCTATAAGCTACTATTTGAATATTTTATTAGTAATAATCTTATTGGATCTTATCAGTAATTACCTAACAATAAGGTACAAGACCTTCTTTTATTAGGTATATATTTTAAAACTAACCTAGGAAAAACTTAAAGAGCAAAATTTGTGAAAAGCACAATTTTATAATCTTATCACCATAATACTATTATTTTTTACATGTTTTTCTCATTTTCAGCCTCCTATAAACTTATTTAAAATATTATTAATAAAGGTCATTATTTTAGTGTTAAATACTATACTATTTAAATACAAATATTTCAAATAATATTTGCTGAATAATATTAGTATTTTAAAATTTAATGTTTTAATTGTCAAGACACTTCACATAAATCTCACAATATCTACTAATGGTAAAATATTTAAATTAGTTTTATATTGCTTCTATTTGAATCTTAAAATTTATGCATGACATGGTCTTTTATTAATGTTTTTATTTAGTGTCTCATCTTGCTAAAACACTGGCTAATTAAAATAAAGGACATTTTGAAACAGGCATTAACTTAAACATCTGGCTTAAAAAAAGCCAAGCATACAAAGACTCAAGGAAGGGAGAAACAGTGAGGAAAGGACAAAACTTGAGGAACAAGTTTCAGCTACCTGAATCTCCCAATTCTTCTCAGATGTGAAAACATCTCGCCACCAGGAACATACTCCATAACCATGTATAAATTAGAATTATCCTATGAACAAACAAAAGGAAATAATGCAAAATTATAAAATGTGGTTTAATAATATTGCAATATTCGTAAATATTCTACCATATCAGTCATAATATTCTAAAATTATACCATATTCAATCATATTTAATATTATCAAATATCATACCATACTCAATTATAATACTTGAACATTATACCATACTCAAGCACAAGACAAAATCAAAATCTATCAGACAGATTAATAAAATGGAGAAAAAAGAGAATAAATGGAAAATGCTCTAACTTTTTAATGCTGGTTCTTCACCATCCTTCCTATATTAGTCATATATTAGACTGGCCCTTTGCTGTTCCATTTCAAAGGAAACATTTAATTCTTCAATAATCAGACGCTAAGGCAATGCAATAGAGCTATAGTATACGCAAGGGAATAACAAAGTTAACAAAACCAGTTTGAGAAAAGTTCCTAACAATATTTTATGTCTAAGAGGTTAAAGCTGTTACTAGACGTGTAGGTCTTCATTTGAGGTAAAAGGTTGAAGTGTTTCGTATGATTCACGTGTGCAGAGAGCTGCCAAGTACTACTCCAAAGAGTTGAAAAGCTGCCAACCGAAAGCATAAACCTCTCGTACTTTATCAGACACCTGAACAGTGGAGCCATGAAGTTTAGCCTTGTTCATAAAGGGGAAGAGTACAGAGTGCAAATTACTAACTAAAACAGTGATGAGGCCACAGAAGAACGTTGAAGAGAGATGTCTCTATCATGTTGATTTGCTGAGCATAAGAATTATGTAATAAGATGTAGCTATGGTTCTGGATCACTAAAATACTTGATTTTTAATACCTTCTTATGAAAAATTACACATTATGTTGAACAATTGCTCCAAGGAAAACTAAAACCTTTAGTTTAAACTAAACCTTCTCCAGTGCTGCATAAATTTGTAAGCACAACAGAATTTGATTACTTAAAATCCTGAAGATGTCTTTTTCATTTTTTCATACTCTCCAGCTTATCATCTGGCTTGAATTCTATTACAGAATTATATTTTAAAAAGTATATCTGCCTGAAAATAACTTATTTAGATAATACTACAATTTACCTTAAAAGAATATTCCAGTCGAACAAGAAAAGGAAAATTCACTGCCTGCAATATCCTTTTCTCATTCAAAGTATGCTCTATTTGCTTCAATTTAACAACCTGAAACAAGACAAATGAAGTTTACTGAATGTAAACAAAATTTCAAAGTTACCATCATTTCAAAAAATGTTTTCCACATAATAAACACAAAGAAGCAAAACTGTGAGATTTAGGTAAGAAAAACAATAATTATTAAGTAGGCTTATATGACTTCAAAAAATCTAGGAGAGGATTTTTACCATTAGTTATATGAAGGTCAACTAGGGAGTTAATAACAAGAGCTAAGTAAGTGGAAACAAAGGTATAGATCCATGCAAATTACTTGAAAAATTAATACATGAAAATTCTTGGCTCTTACTGACTTATAGTTAGATCACTATATCACTTTCTTAAGTAGGCATTGATTATATTATGCTTCCTAAAATCAGGAAGAAAATAGGTATTAAGTAAACAACCAGAACTGAAAAACAATGGGTAAAAAGAATAACCTTTTCATCTCATAATAAGTAAACGAATAAATACAGGTACAAAATCTAAAAATTTAAGTTATATGGCTTCAGATGATAACACGCAAAGCACTGGCAAAAAATTCTTATGTCTTTAATACCAAAGAGGTCCTTTAGGATTAATAAAACTTGCTATGCATTGTCTGCTGCACAGAAAGGGGAAAGCAGTGTATCTTGATTACATTAAGATTGTGACTCTATCCCACATACAATAACTCTATTTTGAATGTAAGGAAAGGTGGCCGAAGCAAAATGACGAATGACTGTGTGCGTATGTGCAAAGCATTAGAGGTTGGCATTCTTTCTTGCTAGGGTCTTATCACTGTGGGTAAGGTTACACAAACCACCCACAGAAACATGATTAAGAGGCATAACTAAAGGTACGAGCCAATTAATGGTATACTGTGTAAAGTAAAGACTATATACTGAACAAAGAATCATGTACCCGGAGGCAGAAGATCTGTGTCTGGCCTAGGCCATCTATTCAATCAGCTTGGTAAAGTTTTGGAGATGTTATTTCAATATTTTGAATCTTAGTTTAAAAATCTGAAACATGAAGTAGCTGAGTCATTATCATCTATATTATAGCTAGTTACAAAACTAATTTTAGTCCATATTTTCATAATAACATGTATAACATCAGCTGGAAAATTATTTTTGCTTTGTGTTTACTTTTGTATATTAGGATACATCAGGTTTTTAATTAGGCATAAGCAATATGTTGGTTTGTGAAATAAACAATGAAAATGAAAAGGCAGAGGCTGTTTACATTCCAGTCTTAAGCCAACTATTTATATGTGGGTTATAATACAACTAAAACATAAACGAATTCAAAGTATATGAATTCCCTAGCATATGTGTGGAGCTCATGTTTAAATAGTTAAACATTAACCATTTAATTTGAATTTACTTTTAAATATGCATATTTATGACATCCTTTGGGATTAGTCCACATTTTAAGTTCAAGATTCATAAAAATTGGTATTTATTTCTTAGATATTTCTGTTAAATACAAAGACTTAAAACATTGAAGAGTGATTTGTTGCCAGCTGATTTTCTAAGACCACACATGCGAGTTATTAATAAAGAAAATAGGTCACATATCATTCTTTCCCTCCAAAATGAACACTACATACTCAAGTTTCAAAACATAGTACAGGCTTGAGAACACGTGGGGAAGCATAAAAGACCAAAATAGAAATGGGAGAAAAACTGTAACGATTAGGAAGCAGGCTGTCTTCTGAGTAGGCTGAGAGCTGATGGCGTTTAAGAAACATGATGAAGCTTTCTTGATGGATAAGGGAAATGGCGTATAGAGTGCAAACATTTTGTTGGCAAGAGATGGATAAATTAATAGAGATAAAAAGTCTGAGGTTGTGGAAATCATGAGGCTAATGTGAAAGATCCGTGCAAGTTAATTAGGGATCAAACTACATAGTGGTTGAAAGGCTCTTAGAGATTATAAATACATTTTAAAGAAAAAATAAGGAATAAAGGCATAGACATCTGTCAAACAGTGAAATTCTTGGTTCTAGCTGTTTGACTGTTGAAAAATTACTTACAGAGATTAGTGGCTTTAAAAGGAGACTAATAACCCACAAAGTTGTTAAGATTGACTGCATACAGCCTAGCGATGCTTGACGCAGCATGGGGAGAAGGAATGTGATTTTTTTTTTCCATTTCTGCATTGGTTTTTCCCTTTCACCCCTTATTTGTCCTAAGATGGGAGAAGGCAGCTGATTTAACTGAAAGATTTGTGTGATTTTATTCATAGGAAATGGAGTTACTATTCAGGGTTATTTCATTGATTATCTTTAGCAAGTTAAATAAACTAGAAAAACTCAAAAGATGGTCTTTCATCCTAGTTAGGCACAGGACAAGGGCACTGTGGTAATAGAAATGACATAAAATGGCATTTACTCTTCTGGGAAACACTTGTTTGCCATGACATATCTGTAAGGTAACTAGCTCAGTAATTTACTTAACAAGCCACTGCTCTGCCAAAATTTTTTTCAAAAAGGACTTGTCCTTATTTCCTAAATACTTTAAGACGTAAGATGATATATTTTATTATCTTGTCAATATTTTGTGAGTAAAGCACAGTCTACAAATTTCTTGAGAAAGAACATTAAAAGCTAGGATCTACCCAGGGAAAACAATTTAATTACAGGCTTAATAAAACCAATAAATTGGAAGCAGTTTTGCTGTGGTGCTTCCACCACTTGTGTGCCATACGCCTCATTTAGAAAATAGCAGTCCTGACCCTGGGGCGTGGTGAGCCAGTGAACAGGTCTGGGTGTGGTGGCACACGCCTGTAATCCAAGCACTAGGGAGGTTGAAACCAGGAGGATCACTACGAGTCTGAGTTGCATAGTGAGACCCTATATCAAATACATAAATGGGGGGGAAAAAAAAGAAAGAAAATGAGGGCAGGACCTACATGATCTCTGAGAGTGCCAAGCCCAGACTGCACGAAGTAGGAGCAGAGAGTTTAAGTGAGGCTGTTAAATAAGGGAGAAGGGATACAAGACATAGAAGGAAGACAAGCTAGTCCAGATCCTAGACATTAGCAATCTCTGAAGAACAGGAAGGAAAAAAAAAAACAAAAACAAAAAAAAAAAAAACAGATCAAAACAGGAAAGGGACAAAAAAAATGGAAAACGTAGAGCCAAGTGCGCAGTCAAAATAAGAGACTTCAGAAGTCAGGACAAGACAGTTTCAGGGAGTGGGCAGCATGGTAATATGCTTTATAAAGGTCATATATGACAAGTAAAGAGACTGGACTTGAAGTCTGGTCATTGGATTGATGAGCCCAAGCTAAGCCTCTTCAGTGGGGTAGCTAAAGATGGGGTGAATAAGGATGCCACTGAACGGCTGTAGGTTAAAGAATTAACAGGAAATGAGTTAGCAGATAGAGTGTAAAATTATTTATTCAAGAAGCATGGTTAGAAAAATTTGTGAATGAAGTTTAGTGGACAATTAAAATGTGGATGAGTTTATTTCATTTTAGAAAGACTGAAGCCATTACTGCCTTTCATGGAAATTGAAATTAGTTTAGGTTTAATTAAAATGAGGGTTGGATTGAAACCTCTGACACCTTGGTGCCATTCTCTCTGCTGTGATGGCATTGGCTGATGCTAAGTACATGCGTTTACTTAGCCCTTGTGACGTGACTAATCCTACTAGCACGTATCATAAGTGGAAAGCACATGTCAGATTTTGAAATGTTAGCATAAAAATGTAAAATATCTCAATAATTTTATATTGTGTTAAGTATTTGGGCTATTAAAACACACTATGAACATTAATTGGAACTTCCATTTTTACTTCTTAAAATGTGACTATTAGAAAATCTGAAATGATACATGTGGTGCCCATTTTATTTCTATGTAACAGTGTTCGTCTAGTCTCTGTCTGCAGTCCTATTGGTCTACTAGTGTTTCCTCCTACTTATAGCCAAATAAGCCAGAAAGTCATTCTTGGGAACATAAGAAGTCTAAGACAGTTTATCAATATTCATTATTCTTTTCATTTCTCTTAGTGGTGAATACCAGGAAAATAGGGCGTTCAATTTTAAAGCATGAGTACTTCAGCCATCTTGGTTCATTACATACTAATAAGTGATAACTATAAAAGTGATTTACTAAAATATGTGAGTTTCACAAGTTTCACCTGCTTTGACTGATATTTAAATAAAAGCACTTCTAAAGTTAATAAAAATAAGTCATACAGGAAAATCGCCAAGTTTCAGTTATGTCAACATAAGGATTAAATAACTGGTTCTGATACTTTTCTATAAGGCAGAATGTAGTAGAAATGCTTGTTGTTTTCATGTTGAATTTAGTAATTTGCTAGTAACTATGCACACAAGTGTTACTGAAATAATATTGCACCCTCACATATAAAACTATTAACTGTGCATCATATAGTCACATTAAATTAGAACAAAAATGAAGGTAATGATAAAATTATTAATGGGTGTCCATGGGAGCATACCGTATTGCATGTATTTAAAAGACTAGCTGATAATACTGAAATTTACCCCTCAGCCTAATAATGACAAACACTTACCTTCTGCTTATCTAAGATCTTCATGGCATAATACTGTTCAGTGGCTTTATGCTTCACCAACATGACTCTTCCAAATGAACCTGTTCCAAGAGTTTTTTTCCTTTCAAAATCCTCAAGCCCAGCATTATTCTACACGTGCATGAAAAGTTTAAAAAAATTAAAATCAGAAATTCTCCTAAGACTGGAATTATACTCTCTTTAGTAATATATCCTGAGAATAGAAATTTTAGGTAGTTATCCTTTCAGAAATAATACAAGAGTATTCACTCCAAGCATTCAAACTATTGGCTTTACTTTCCCCTTTGAATAAGAAGGGTTTTAATAAGAGAAAAAGGGAATTATATTACAAAATGATGCATAACAGTCAGAGCAAAAAATAAAAGCTACAGGTGAATTTGCAAAGGTCAGATACAAATACGAATTTTCTATTATTGAATCTAAGAAATTATGACTATATTTTAATAATTACAAACTTCCCAAAGGTATACTGATAAAAGTCATGTCCGCTGTAGTCTTGTAAATAAACAGACTGAGTAGAGAAGCTCAAAGATCAGTCTTTTCATTGGGATTGCCTTTGCAGACAGCACTATCTTACTTCATCTGTATCTTTAGAGGCCCATATAAAAATAGATAATAACAGCATGATGGAAAGCCTACTGATATTGTAATAACCGAGTATTACCTAAAATAATAACAATAAGCAAAGAAGGGTTTCTCAGCCCACAAAAGACCAAAAGCTAGTATCACAATAATCAGACTCTTTTTTTCTCCTTGAATAGATGTTTTGTTGCAGGCTAACATCTTTGGCTTTGACAACAGCGTACAAAGAATTGGAGGCATCAATCTATTGAATTTGTTGCTGCCACAACAAAATGAAAATTACTAAGAACAAATTATGTGCTAAATAGCAGCATGTAGTGGTTGCTGACCCAGTTGAGGGTTCTTGTTTGTTTTTAATTTTTTTAAAATGTATTTTGTACAGGGTCTCACTATGCAGCTTGGACTCATAGTGATCCTCCTGTTTTCAGCCTCCCCAGCACTGGGATTACAGGCTTGCACCACCACAGTCTTGGTGGCCAGCTCAGCGCACCCAAGGGTGGGGCTGGCATGGCATATGGTGTTAGGGACAGAATACCCCATTTGTTAAATAGATTTCTTTATAAAGATATCCATGAAAATCTCAGAAAAAATACTTCTACTTCTCAGTCTACAGTGTTTAGGTTGAGAAAAATGTGAGGTAATATGATTACCTATATGCAATAAGTCTGGATACGTTCTGAAATTCACTGCTTCTGAAATAATCTCCACTATAAATGAAACATTGCCTTTTTGACACATCATAGAGTTTTCTGCTAGGTCACTACAGAGACGGGAAGCCACCTTACATTTTGCTTATAAAATCTGTTCTAATTTCACACTGGACAAGATTATCGTTGTGGAAAAGTCCTCTTAATTCTGACTGAATTAATCTTACAGATTTATATTTAATTTTTGGTTTATCAACATAAGTGGACTGAAATGTTTAATATAGTCCCCCCAACAAAATAGGAGAAAAAACACTTAGCATACAACAGAACATCTCTGTATGGTAGTCACTGCTTTTCTTTATATAATAAAAATACATCATCTTCTTCATTTCTGTTATATATAAAATTCATTTACACCATGTCTAATATGCTATAATTACAATGTCCAACTTTTAGGTATGCTATCAAAGACATAATTCAAAATTAATATTTGAAAATATCAAGGGTTTACAGCAACTTGGAACTAGTTCCTGAAAACACATCTGATAAGTAAAATAAAAGAAAAATTTATTCTTTCTCCAATTTAGGTGTGCACAAACTTAGTAATACATTAAAACACATGATTGCATAATTACCATTTTAAGCTTATACAAACTATAGGCATTCCAACATTTTTGACAAAGTAAATTAACTTACACTAGAGAATGGTTTTACCTAACAAAAATGTCAGCTTGGAGAAGAATGTAAATATTCCTTACCGGGGGAGGATTCTCCCACTTCTTCAGAAAGTCTTCTTTGGCTTTGGCTAGAAATTCTTTCACTGAAAATACACATAAAAAAGGTTCTGTCTTATAATAATATTTACATTCCATATAAAAATATTTAAATGTATATATATATATATATATATACTCACTACATGTATAAGTTTTGCTTAAAAATGACATATCAACTACACTGTGAAGAACTTTCTGTTCACTATGACACAAGTTATTTAATGCCTCTAAACAAGAAGCTCAGTTTCTAAGACTCTCTAATATCATTCTATATGAAAATCACAGATAAATTCAAATTTAATAGCAACAATACTGTTCCTGAAAACGCACCTGAAAATGAAGTGAGTTAAGTGTGGGGCAAAATAGTGATTGCAAATAAATAAGCCAGCAATACTATTAGCAGAGCTTTAAATGCAGAAACTAAGAACACGTGGAGAAGAAGAGTTTTGATTTGTGAAGTAGCAAAAACTAATTGGTTTTGATCAGGGATCGTTTTCAGGCATAAGGATTGAGGTTATTAGATTTGAGTTCTCTCTGCCAGAAGTGGAGAGAAAAGGAGAATCTATAAACATACAAAGGCACACAAAAGCTAAAAAAAAATCAGCTGAGAATGACAGCACCAATGAAAAATCTAAATAGCTTTAAAATTGCATTCTAAATTTGGAGTTAAAACTAAGCACTTGAATCTCACCTAAAAGTTTACACTAATGTAAAGAATTGAAAAGTAAATGCTTATATATTTAATAGCCACTTGCTTTACAGCTGTACAGTAACCACACACTTTATAGGTTTGAAGTTTTAAATGTTAAATGTTACATCACTTAAAAGCAGTCCCCTTTACATTCTTCCTACAAATTATGAACAATGGTTTCTATCCTCAAAACAACTTCATCTATTTTTTAAAAAATAGAAAATAATCCAAACAGATAAAATAGCATTAGCAGATGTATTCTTTTAGTTAGGAATGTAAATAAAACTTGAAGTTTAAAATAAAACAAACTTAAAACAAGTTTTTAAAATAAAATAAAAAGTACTTTATTTATTTAGAAAGTTTTTTTATTTAGGAAGTTTCCAATATAATTCTATTTGAATCTAAAACTTAAGAAAAATAGGACTCACTGTAGAAATGGAAGGTGGAGAAGACCAAATGGAATTGGAAATATTTTCATAGTGAGTGCCAATCATGATGACAGAAGGTAGAGTTACCAGTGAAAGTGAGGACTCACAGATTGCTTTAAGATTCCTGATCGTGCAGCAGTAGTAAAGCATTTTCACAGGTACATTATTATCATTTCTCCCTTTATCCTCAATATAAAAACTTGGACAAAACACTGTAACTAACCAAAAGGGCGGTGGGCAGTCTAAACTTCAAAATATTAATTAATAATTTTTTTAAAAAAATACCTAAAGCAATGAAAAAAAAAAAAAGAAAAAAAGAGGCATCAGAGGTAGACATTAGAGCTGGGGAGAGAGCTCAGTAGAATAAAAGCTTGCCTGGCAAGTGCTAGGGCCTGAGTTCAATCCCTGGTTCCACCAAAAAAAAAAAGGTAGACATTAGCTTTTATGTTACACTACAGTATACATTTCTGCAGACATTTGAATACTTCCTACAAAATTTCATTAGCATTTTACTATAATACTAGTAAAATTTCCTAGCTGAGAAAACTTTCTCCATTTGAAGAATTTTTTCATTTTATGAAAATCTTATGCACCAACATATCAACTAATGGCACCTAATTATCCAAATATAATTTTATTACTGCCAAAGCGTAGAAAATTCTTCTATCTTAGGATAACTTAAGCCATCTTCCTTCTAAACCTTAATGTATTAGTTACAACTTAAGAACAGTACTTTTATAAGCAAAACTGTTTTGATATCTGCACATGGTTTTGACTTGGAAATGATGGCTATAAAATATAATTTATTATAAAATGCCACTGTGGCTTTTAAGAAACTCTAGCACCTGATGCCCAAAATAAGCTTCTAATTTCTTTAACAATTATTTACCTTTTATGTATAGGACTTGCATATCAAGTTGCAATGTAAATTCTCTAGATGCTTGCATGAGTACAGATCAGTTGGAGAGAAGAAAGAGAATCAAAAAAAGAAAAAAACAAAACAAAACCTGCTTCTGTTGCTCCTGTCACTTTATGCTAAGTGGATCTAGAGTTAAGAAAGCAATGGTTGTATTTGTCAAATATGGTAACTGGAGGAAAATTTTTTTTCCATGTCTGGGGATAAGCTATAAGCAAAATTCCTGGTGCTACTTATTTTTATTCACTTAGTATATTGCACAACATTCTCTGAAATAATCTCTGTATGCATCAATATTCTGAGTTTAGAGCTGGGCATGGTGACCCAGGCCTGCAATCTGAATACTCTGGGAGGCTAAGGCAAGAGGGTCAAAATTTGAATCCAGAAATAGAAAGTTTTAGAAGAGGGCTGGGGATGGAGGTCAGTGGGAGGGCTCTGGGCTCCATCCCCAATACAAAGAAAAGAGAAAACTAGATCCCTTCAAGGCTTTATGAAACATTATTAAAATGTGCCATTAATAAAAAAAAAACAAATACTGTTAATTATTTCAACATATAAAGGGATTTCTCCTTAGAGTAAAATGAGTATAAATGGTAATGACATTAAATAATTCTCAAATATACTTCTGCCATAGAAAAATATATACAATCATGAAATCTCTAGTACATATGTGTTAATAAATACAAAGATAAACATAATGAACTCTTTGTGAAAATGTTAAGAAAATATTCATCTTATAAAATATTACAACATATACTGGGTTATGGATAATCCTAAAATTCTAGATCATCCAGAACTATATCAATTTGTTTTGAATTCTACTAGTTTTAGACATTGATGGATTTAACTTCTACATGTTTTCCTCTATTTATTTAAAAATGTTTTAAATCACTGACAACAGAAATTATTAGTTGATTAACAAAAAAAAAAAAAAATAGGAGACACAGATTCAAACACTGAACCACAACCAATCAAGAATTCTTCAAAGTCATATACTTGGAAGTGCTCATTTTTTTTTTTTTTAGTTTTTTAATCATCTAATCCATATGCTTTATCTATTAGATTTAACCATTTAATCCACCGAAAGCACACAGCAGCCACATTTTCGGAGTTTGGCACACAGGTAGAATATTGACTCTATCACATTCAGCGTTGTGATCATGGGTCCTGGTAGCCACTGAGCACTTAACAGGTTCATAAAATGCTTCAAGAAAGTGTTTGGCTGCAAATGTCTTCGGTCTTACAGTGACCAAAAGGGGCAAGCTAGGTATTCAACAACGAGCAAAGCACACCCAAAATTAATGTAATATTAATGTAATATACATTTACAGTTATACTTATTGCTCATTTCATATCATTCAAAAAAGTCTACCAAGTTGCACTGTAGTAGCAATGAGCATACCACAGGACTAAAAACATTCACTCAATTTGTTTGAAGGAAAATTTACCCATATTCATGAAATGAAAGAACAAATAAACATTTTCTGCATTTCTATAATTACATATAAAACACAATTCTTATCTCTCCCTATCCCTCATTTTTTTGTTAATTATTTCCAGATCTCCAGGTTCTTTGTAATGTGTTAAATGTCACCTCTCTCTTTACACTTCTTTTATAATGAAGACAGAACTCTATTTTAATTTTTATTTAATGCATGTCAGATAACTAGGAAACAACAGAAAATAAAACAAAAACTCCCAGGGGCAAATCCTCAATCAAAATATTAGCTATAATACCCGAAATCTACAATACACATAAAGTATTTCATTTGTCTTTTTGATGAAAAGAGCAATATATATATATATATATATGCTCTTTTCTTTCAAAAATCACTCTTTAATGTGGTTATTCTAACTTAAGTGGTATATATTAATCTGTCTGCTGTTAGCTGGTACAACAGCTCTCTGTGCTTTACAATAATATATTGTTTCCAAAATATCACAAGAAAGTGCAATAACTTTATGAGCGTATAAACCTCACCATAAAGTTAAAGTATTTCATTCATGAAAAACAATTTATAAATCAATGTACTTAACAAAAACATAACTTTTTGAAGAGAACAGAAACTTGCAAACAACCAAATAAAAAATTACAACAGTAACATTTGTTTTATTAAAAAGTAGTTGCCTACCAGATATTTCTGAAGAGGAGGAAGCTTGTGTCCAAAAAAAATAAATTAAACAATGATTAAATTACACTTGCAACAAATTAGCAAGAAATTACCTATATACAGTTTTCCAGAAACAAAATGTTAATGCAGAAACTCAATTATTTGATTACATGTATTTAAATAAGCCATTTAAAAGTTAAGTGATAAAACTAACAACTACTGTTCAATGTCAAAATTAATAACATTGTAATTTTCCTTAAAACAAAAACTTTCATTCCATATTACAACAGAGATAATAATAAGCAAATATTGAAATATACAGCCTATCACTGTTGTAAAACCATCTCTGAACAGGAGAGACACTGAATTTGAAGACCTCGTTTCTATCTGTTTGAATGATATTTATGTCTTTGAGGCATGCTACTTCCTTAGAGGTGTGCAACACCAACAATTGCTGACCATCCTTTCAGTGTCAGGTACTGATGGATGTTCTGTGAACAGTACAAAGAATAAATGTAATTCTACTTAAAAAGAAGAGAGGCTAGTGGGGAGACATTATAAAAATGTCACAAGGGCTAAAGCAAAAGCAATTCTCATGCTATGAGGGTTGCAAGAGGAGATTCTCAGGTCATGAGGTAAGGCACAACAGAGGACATGGCAGTTGTGCTTAGTCTTGAAGGATGGACTTTCCTGGAGGTAGAGTTGGAAAAGAAGACAACCTAGGGTGAGATGACGGCTTAACTAGGAAATGGCACCCGACTGGCTGCAGCACAGGCTGAGTGTACAGCAACGGGCAAGCCAGCCCCGGATCATAGGAGCCTGGGTTTCATTGTGTGGGAAGAAAAAGGAGCCAACCATGTTACTTCACATGCCCTAGACTCTGTTTACTTGGGGATGC